CAGCGACGCTGACACCGAAGCTGGCGGCTTCAGCCCCGGCGACGGTAGTTCGCCCGACACGGACAGCGACGAAGACCACACCCGTGAACCACCACCTGCGCAAGTCCCCGACATCCTCCCTGCCAACGCCATTGTTGCTAACATCAAGGACATGCTGAAGCTCATGGTCGACACCTGGGAGCCCATCTTGGGCAGGTACCGCGCACGTGCGGGACATGATGCCGAAGCCATGCCGACGTGGGCCGATTTCTACGACGAGTACCGACAGGAGCTGCCTACGCCATCACCAGCTACCCCTTTCCACCTCACCGACGACCAACTCATCCACTTCATTCGCACCCGTTCACCGAGACGCGCGGGGGGTCTGGACGGTTGGACTACTAAGGAGGCAAAGGAGCTTCCCGACGACATTCTTCGCCTCTTCGCCAGCGTCCTACGAGCTATGCAACGCACTGGCACCATCCCAGAACCCCTCCTCCACGTCCCAAACCCGTGCCTCCGAAAAGGCCGAGGCGAACTCCCAACGGACCAACGACTTCTCTCGGTGCTTTCCGTTTGGATGTATGCGTGGGAAGCACCAGCTTACCGCAGCCTCACGGACTGGCGGAAAGGATGGACCCACGCCACGAGTTTTGGCGCTGTTCCCAAAGCTACCATTGGGGACGTCAGCACTTCTCTCGCCCTTCGCATCGAACACGCCAGAGCCCTTCTCCTTCCCTTGGCTGGAGCTGCCCTGGACCGTCAGAAGTGTTTCGACTATCTCATCACGGACATATGCCTTAACCTCGCGCTTCACGCGGGGTGTCCCCAAGACATCGTTACTGTCCGCAGAAACTTCTACAGGCGCCACAAACGTTACATCCGCATGAACGGTGCGTACTCTAAGGAACTGGCCAGGACAAACGGTCACCTCCAGGGAAGCTCTTGGTCCCTGGACGACATTAAGCTGCTCATGTGCGTCTGGACCAAGAGACAGCATCGTTACGTGCCGCGGTCACTCAGCACTACTTTTGTTGACGACAGCAACTCCACTACCCACACCGCGCCCGAGTTGCAGAAATCTCTTGATGAAACCGCCAAGTTTGATCGATTTTCTGGTCAACGCATTCATCCTGGAAAAGTGGCGGGGTGGGCGCTTACTGACGAGCTTCACACCGCCGTTACCCAGCTCACCTTGGCGGAACGGCCCTTACGCGTGGTCGACTCCTTCAAGCTCGTCGGAAGTTACATCAACGCCGAGGCAGCGCCGGTTCCAGCCGCGCTCAACCTCACGGCCACCGCTGACGCCCGTGTTCGCAGGGCGACTAGTCGCCTGCCGCGTATTGGCAAGCTCCCATCTCCGATGCGTATTAAGGCGCGGCACGCCCGCTCCCTTGCTGCCAGCGTCTGTACCACGGGCACTGACATCCAAGCCCCATCAGGCCCCGTCAAAACTGCCTACAACCATGCCCTTAAGGCGGCTATCCGCCCCAAGGGAAACAGGTGGGTCGAGTTTTGGACTCTCATGGCCGTGTGCGTCCCAGGGCACGCCCTGGAGATTGACGCCATTATGCAGCGTGAAGTCTTCCTGTGCCTGCGGCGACAGGTCAACCGCGACGCCACTCTCTGCGGCCTCGTCAGGGATCTCCAACACCATGTCCAGACCCTTTTTGGGGGAGGACCTGTTGGACGACTTGTCCAGACGCTTCAGCAGCTCCGTTGGACTTGGCCCACATTTGGCACCATGTACGACGACTGGGGCTGTCAGATCAGTTGGCTGAACCTTCCCCAAAACGCCTTCCTTCACATGCTGCGCGCCTCGCAACGCAGAGCCTTTCTGAGAAAAATCAAGCCACGGCGTCATGACCTTGGACACCTGGCTTCGGTCAGACAGGGCCTCGACCTTTTCGCCAGCACGTGGCTCGCCCGCACCAAAGGAGCTGCCAAATGCAACGCATGGCAGCTGGCGCTCCTCTTAAACTACCTGTCGGGCGGGGACCACACCCAACAGCGACGTTCTCGATCAAATACGTCCGCTGATCCCAGCCCTATTTGCCGTTACTGTGATGAGGAAGAGGAAACTCAGGAGCACACTGTGCGTGACTGCAAGTGCTGGGCCCGTGAAAGAGTCCCTCTCACCACCCTCATCAGTGACGAGCAGTGGGCCCGTCTTCCTCCGCACACAAGACATTGCGGGCTCTTCGATGAGGACCCAGCCCTCCTCGATCTGCAAGCCGACCTCGCGAGGGACCCGCTACCTCAACCCATACCGAGGCCCCCGCCTGAGGGAGATCCTGCGGCTTCAGCCCAGGACTCCTACACCACCTACCTTGACCACGACACTGGTTGGACATGGGTCTACGCTGCCACGGACGGTGCATGCACCAACCAAGCCATCCCTTTGCTTGCAAGAGCGGGCTACGGCGTCTACTACGGCATCGACCACCGCATGAACTACAGTGCGCGCGTTCACGGCATCACGCAGAACGCACAGCTTGCGGAGACCCTCGCCATTGTCCACCTCACGGCATGTGCTGAACGGCCCGTACACGTCTTCGTGGACAACCAGGCGGTGGTCGACGGCTTCCAAAGGATCATCGACGGACACTCACCTCCGCAGGGCACGCACGTGGAGTTCTGGGAAAAGGTCCACCGATGTGTCATGGCCAAGCCAAACATGTTCCGCGTAGAGAAAGTCGCTAGCCACCAGGGCGACACGGGCATCGACCTCGGGCTCATCGGGCCCATCGCGGAGGAGTTCAATCGTCAGGCTGACGCCCTCGCCACAGCGGCGGCACGTACTCATAACCTTCCAGACGACATCGTTGAAGCTGCCAAAGCACGACATCGCCAAGCGACCGTGCTCCATGGAGTCGCCGTTGCCATCTACGAGCGGAGACATCGTACACTTCCTCTCCCACACCGCAGGGCTGGGTTCACAGCTGCAGAACTAAACAAAATGGAACCAAATCCCCTGCTGTCTGACCAGGCTCCACCCGCGGCTGGACCAGACATCCCACAAAACCCCGACGAGCTCTGGGCCGAGGCCCAACGGGTGTTATTCGACGAACAGGAGGACGACCCGTTCGGCTTTGGTGGAGGTTTGGACTTCCTGGGCGACGAGTCAGCCAGCGCCAACCCTGCCCCGGCGGGCACCCGCACGGCGCCCCCGACTCCGCCATTGAGTGCGTCAGCCCACCCACATGACAACGCCGCTCCTTTTCAAGACGCTGATGAGCAGGACGATGACCTTTTCAGCCTCGGTGGGGGATCGGACGCTTTGGACGACGGACCAGCCAACGAAAACCCCGCCCCGTCGGGAAACCTCGCAAACCCTACTGCGACGCCGTCCCCAAGAGCGTTAACGCCCACATACGACGATATCGGTCACCGCCAAGACGCCGACCACGACACGGGTGCCCCCCGAGGATTGAGTGGCATTGAGGACGCACCGCCGACACCACACGCTGCCGACCATGACGCCCCACCGAGACACCAACCCTCTACGCGACCGACCTCTGCGGCCTTGCACGGCATCACGACTGGTCCCACCGCGCATACCACTCCGCCCCCCCATCGCCAGCGACCCGCGGGGGCGGCTTCAGCCCCCCCGCAGGGTACTAAACCAGACTGGCCCTCGTGCCCCACCCACGCTTCCTCCGTTGCTGAGCGAGAGGAAGCGGCTCCCCTGACCTCTCGGGGCGCGGCCCTAGCGGCTCCAGCCCTGGGGTCGCGCCGGCCCCTCCAGTCACCTTTCAAGGGTGACGGACGTCAGCGTTCTGGGTCCCGCACGCCGCTTGCCCACCTGGACAGGCGTACCGAGGACCTCGCCTCTGTCTCGAGATCCTCGGCGGATGTCACTGAGCAGCCACCTCTCACCGACCGTGAAACCGAGCTGTCACAGGCTATGGCTGCCCTTCAGCAGAGGTGCTTAGCTCTCGCCGCGGACCTCGCCGCTGCCCAAGCTCGTCAAGGTCCTCTACTCCAGCGCCTCCACAGCGCTGGGCGAGCCTTCGCCGAGCTGCTCACGACCTCGCCCGATGGTGTCGTGCCGTCACTCAACATCCAAGCTATGTTGTCATCGTTCCGCGGCGCTCCACCTGGTGCCCCGCGCTAATCTCCTCCTTTCTGCCTGCCCGTGTGTACGTGTGGCTCCGCGTCCACGGTGTCAGGGCGTGGGGGCGGGGGGTGCCCCGTCACTGCGCGCCGCTTAGCGGCCAAGCGCCCAACTGGCGGTCCGCCAAGCCGCCTAGCCACGTGCCAGCACGTCGCCTTTCTTGTTGGGGCCTTTTACCTCACGCGGTCTGTCAGGTGAGATCTTCATCGTCTGTCCGCCGTCTGTAGCGTCTGTCGCACTGCGCCGGGGGAGGGGGTTTTGTAGCCCGCCCTCGTATCTTAAGGCTGCACCGCCGCAAATAGTGCATGCGAGTTGTCGCACCGCAGTGCGCCTCGCGGACGGACCCTGGTCCGCCTACTTGTCCGATCTCTCTCTCTCTCTCTCTCTGTCCTTATCGTTCTCTCTCTTTCTGTCTCTCTCTCTCTCTCTCGCCCTCTCTCTCTGAGGCTCTCTCTCATTACGCGTCTCTTTTTTTCCGTTTCTCTTTTTTCTGTCTCTCTCTCTCTCTCTCTCCCTCTCTCTCTGCATCTTCTTTTCTCTACAGAACTACACGTACAGCTATAGTTGCATATAATGCGCATTCACACTTGTACATCATTGCGTGTGTAAGTAGCAGTGTCGCTATGTTCCTATATTTTGGAACACCCACGTATAAGCATGTCATGCGTGTTGCTATATGCCGACTACGCTTGTAACACCCTGTAATCATCTACCCACTCCGCCCGTCTGAATATAGACACGCAAGAGCAAGTGCGTGCACACGTGCTGGATGTACATCAATCATAAAACCACCTTGGCGCCGCCAGCGCTTGCCGGAGAAATGTACGTCGCTTCTGCAAGGATAACAACTCATGATAAAAGCATTGAGGTTCACTGCTCCCCTTGTTGTGCCACCCAGCAGCACCTCGCTGGTCTCAGGGCCAACGTTGTCCTGACAACGACACAGAAGCACACGAAAGACGATTGCGATGAGTTTGCGAAGCCGCTCTAGCACGCTGTCCTTGTAATCAATATTGACACCTGCCGAGGACTGCTCGTTGTGATAAGCACACGGCTCAACTCCGCACTAGCTGTTCTTCGCCATCTTCCTTTATCCTACTCGCCCTTCTCCTCTTTGCCCGTCGTCTCCTCCTCCTCCTCGTCCTCCTCCTCCTCCACCTCCTCCTCCTCCTCCTCCTCCTCCTCCTCCTCATCCTCCTCCTCCCCCTTTTCCTTCTCCTTCTTCACTTCCTTCGCCTCCTCCACCTCCTCCTCATCCTCCCATTGTTCCCTCGCCTCCTCCTCCTCCGCATCGTCCGCCGCCTCCTCCTTCTAGCGGAGTGCTAGGACTTTGGGCCCGCCTTCAAAACACTAGTCGTCCAGGCGACGGACCCAACCACATGCTGTTGTTGTAAGTACCGCGTTGTGGGACCGCTTTCGGTGGAGCTCCCCTGGGGCCGCGAACCGTGCAAGGAGTGCGCCCCAAATGGGGCGGCGCCGCCATGCGAACCCTGTACCTGGGGCCTGCGGTGAAACTCCCCATGGCGCCGCGAACCGTGCGAGGGGTGCCCCAAAATGGGGCGGCGCCGCCATGTGAACCCTGCCACTGGAGCCTTCGGCGGAGCCCCATTACGGGGTCACGAATCGCGAAATGGGTGAGCCAAAATGAGGCGGCGCCGCCATGCGAACCCTGCCATCGCCTTCGGAAGAGCCCCCTTGTAGGGGCCACGAACCGTGTGAGTGGTGCGCCAAAATGGTACGGCGACACCATGCGAACCTTGCCACTGAGGCGTTCGGTGAAACCCCATATGGGCGACGAACCGCATCATGGGTGCGCCACATTGGAGCGGCGCCGCCATGTGAACCCCGCCACTGAAGCTTTCAATGGGGTTCCCTTGGGACCACGAACCTTGCGAGGGGTGCGCCACAATGGGGTGCCGCCGCCATGCGAAACTTTCCGTTGGGGCCTTCGGTGGAACTCCCTATGGTGCCACGATCTGTGTGGTGGGTACACCACAATGGGTCGGAGCCGCCATGCGAACCCCCTGCCACTAACGCCCTCGGTGGCACCCCCATGTGAGGCCACTAACCGTGTGAGGGGGTATGCCGAAATGGTCGACATGCGCAGGGCAGAGGCAGGGATGGGGGAACAAGAAGGGACGAGCTGGAGGGAGTGAAGGAAGGAGACGCGGGGCGCTGTCTCTTCAACACAAGGACCCAACAACAATATCCTGGCGAAAGACCCAATCATATGAAATTGTGCCTACTGTAGTGCGGCACCGCTGTCGGTGGAGCCCCCCATATAGGGTCACGAACCGTCTGAATGGTGCGCCTTCGGTGGAGCCCCCATATAGGAGGCCACGAACCATGGGAAGGGTGTTCCAAAAAATGATGCCACGGCGCCATGTGAAAACGGCCACGGGGGCATTCGATAGAGCTCCCTTGGGGCCACGAACCGTGCGACGTGTGCGCCAAAATGGGGCGGCGCCACCACACGAAGCCTACCACAGGGGTCGTCGGTACAGCCCCCATGTGGTGCCACGAACCGCGCGAGGGGTGCGCCACAATGGGGCGCCGCCGCCATGCGAACCGTGCTATTGGGGCCTTCGGTGGAGCTCCCTATGGTGCCACGAACCGCGTGAGGTGTGCGCCAAAGTGATGCGGAGCCGCCGTGCAAACCCGGCCACGGCGGCCTTCGGTGGAAACCCCATAAAAGGGCCACGAAACGTGTGAGGGGTGTTCCAAAAGCGGTACCACCATGCGAACCCTGCCGCTGGGGCCGTCGGTGGAGCCCCCTTTATGGTTCCACAAACCATATGATGGGTGCGCCAAAATAAGGCGGCGCCGCCCTGCGAACCCTGCTACTGAAGCCGTCGGCTCATGTCCCTATAGCGCCACGAACCGTGTGAGGGGTTCGTCAGAATTGGGCGGCGCCGCCATGAAAACCCCTCCAGTGAAGCCCTCGCTGAAACTCATTCTGGGGCCACGAACCGTGCGAGGGGTGTGCCGATACACAGACATGCGGTGCGAGCGGCGCCCCGAGCATATGATGGGGCGTGCGGAGGCAGAGGCAAGGATGGAAGGAGGGAGGGGGGAAGGAAGTAAGGAGACTCGGGGCGTTGGCAGGGCATCTGTCCCTGAGCCTAGGGCATGGCCGCCGACGTTGGCGCGAGGGTTTTGACAAGGTCGGCGGGGGGGGGATTATAATGCCTGCGCTGCGTCATGCCAGCGCTCCCCACCACCCCTATCACATGACAGTGCTACGTGCATGTTGCGGCAAAACCGCCGGCCATGCTCGGGGGGCGCAAACGATTTGCATTGCGCGTTGACGAGGACGCCGGGGATGCCAGCACAGGCTCGGGGCGCAAAGGGGGCCTGGTGGATTTTACGCGTGTTCTCTTTAAGAAAAAAACATGCGAATCTCTCCCTACGACTCCTTTTCTCTCTCTCTTTGTCTCTCTCTCTCTCTTTCTCTCTCTCTCTCTCTCTCTCTCTATACATATATATATATATATATAATATATATATATATATTCGTGTGTGTATGTGTGTATATATATATATATATATATATATTGCTATCTTTCTCTTTCGATTTCTCTATGTATATCCCCTGCTCTCTCTCTCTCTCTCTTGTTTCTCTTTTGCTCCGTCAAAACTCATCCTCCTTTCCATCGGGGGGAAGGGATGGGAACCTCCCCCTCCTCCTTCTATTCATACGCCTCTTCCATCCCAAAGGAAAAGGGAAGGGGAAAGATCCCCCTCATTCGCCTCCCCCTCCTCCTCCTTTTGGGCGAAAGGGAAGGGAAGGAGCCGCATCCTCAGCAGCAGAAAGGGCAGGGAATGACCCTGTTCCTCCTTCGATTCCTCCTCCTTCTGATGGAAATGGGCAGGCGCGGAACCCCCCCTCGCCCCCCCCCCTGAGGGAGAAAGAAAGAAAGGAGTTTCATTCCCCTCCTCCTCCTTCTGAAAGACCCCCCCCTCCCGCGCTGTCCTGAAGGGCAAGGAAAGGTAGGGGGCATCCTCTTCTCCTCACTACGGGAAAGGGAAGGGGAAGCACCTCCTCCTCCTCCTCCTCCTTCTGATGGACAAGGAAATGGCGGACCCCCCCCCTCCGCCTCCTTCCTCCTCCCCCCCCCCCTGAGGGAAGGGATGGGAACGAATGTCCTCCTCATCCTTCCTGAGGGAAAATAAAGGGAGTGAGCCTTTTCCTTCTCCTCCTCCCTCTGAGGGAAGGGGAAGCGAATGAGCATCCCCCTTCTCCTTCCTGGGGGACAGGGAAGGACAGGGAACCGCCTCCTTTTTTTCATGAGGGAAAGAAAGGGAAGGATTATCTTCCTGCTCCTCCCCCTCCTCCTCATGAGGGAAAGGGGGAAAGTGCAGGGAATGAACGCCCTCCTCCTCATCCTCCTCCTCCTGATGGAAAGGGGCCGGAAGGGGGCATCCTCCTCTTCTTCCCTGAGGCACAGGGAAGGGAAGGAACCTCCTTTCCCACTTCCTCTTCCTCCTCCTCCTCCTCTTCCTCCTCCTCCTCCTCCTCCTCCTCCTCCTCCTCCTCGTCCTCCTCCTTATTGTCGGAAAAGGGAATGGAAACGAAGGAACCTCCTCCTCCTCCTCCTCTGCCCCGATGGAAAGGGAATTGAAGGAACATCCTCCTCCTCTAACCTGAGGGGAAGCGAAGGGAAGGAGGCCTCCCCTTCCGCCCGGGGGGGAAGGGAAGGGGATGAGCCTCCTCATCCTCTGCACCCCCCACCAGGAGGAAAGGCAGGGGGCGAATTTCCCCCTCGTCCTTCCTGAGGGAAAATGAAGGGGGCGCGCCTCCTCCTTCTCCTCCTACTTCTGAAGGGAAGGGAAGCGAATGGGCATCCTCCTCCTCTTTCCTGGGGGACAGGGAAGGGAAAGGAACCACCTCCTCTTTCTTCCCGAGGGAAAGAAAAGGAAGGAGCACCCCCCCTCTTCCCCCCCTCCTCCTCCCGAGGGAAAGGGCAGGGAAGTGGCCTCGTCCTCATCGCCCCTCCTGAAGGAAAGGCAGGGAATGAGCCCCCCCCCCCTCATATCCCCACTCCCCCCGATGGGAAGGGGCAAGCAGGGGGCCTCCTCCTCTTCTTCCCTGAGGCAGAGGGAAGGGAAGGAACCTTCTTTCCCACTTCCTCTTCTTCCTCCTCATCCTCCTTTTTGTCGGAAAGGGGATGGAAGGGAAGGGACCTCCTTCTCCTCCTCCCCCCCCCCCTCCTCCTCCTCCTCCTCCTCCTCCTCCTCCTCCTCCTCTGCCCTGGTTGAAAGGGAATTGAAGGAACATCCTCCTCCTCTGTCCCGAGGGAAAGCGAAGGGAAGGGGGCCTCCTCCTCTGTCCTGAGAGAAAGGGAAGGGAATGAGCCTCCTCCTCCTCTGCATCCTCCTTCCTGAGGGGATGGGAGGGGAAGGGGCGCCCCTGCCCCCCCCCCCCCCTCACCCCCCCCCCTCCTCCTCTTTTCTGGAAGAGAGGGAAGGATCTTAAGATGATTGAGGGCCTCCCTCTCTGAGAGCCCCTTGCGCGGGGGGTCGCGCGCGAATCCTTTCGCGGGGGTCACAGGTAAATTCCTTCTGCGCGAGGGGGTGCAAGTTGACTCCATTTGTGGCGGAATTGCACATAGATTCCCTTTGTGGGGGGTTGCAAAAAGATTTCCCTTGCGTGATGGGGTGCAAATCGATTCCCTCTGCGGCAGAAGTACACATAGATTCTCTTTGCGGGGGCTACAAACGGATTCCCTTCGCGCGAGGGGCTACAAGTTGATTCCCTTTGCTGCGGAATTACACGTGTATTCCCTTTGTGCGGGGTGAAACATCCATTCTCTTTGTACGAGGGGGTGCACATTGATCCCCTCTGCGGCAGAGGAGGGGGGGCTGGCCCCAGTGGGAAGGCCCTCGCAAAAACAATTAAAAAGAACAAACAAAAAAGGCCCCCCCCCCCTG